TGCATTCCACAAAAGGTTCTTTATAGTTATAAAATGCTTCTTTAGGTCATTTTAAAAATTTGAAACTAAGGAGAAAAGAGGTACTTTTAAGAACTTTTGACTGAAAGATTCTTTGAAGATCTAAAAATGGTCTATTGTACCCCCCTTGAAACTTTTTATTTTAATTTTTTTAGTTGAACCTTTATTTTTGTCTCATGGAGAGGTTGGCACAGAGTAACTAAATTGTTAAAGAGTAACTAAGATTTCAGGTGCTAAAAGGTTTTGAGTCAAAAGACTTATTTAACAAATGCTCATTTTATTAGGCACCGTTTTGTTGGTTTCAAACATCATGTACAAAAACTTTCTTAAAATGGAACAATTTTTATTACATTCCAGTATCCTCTTATTATTTTTGTAATATCTGTTGAATAAATAGGTGAACGCAATAGAGACTAACAGAAGACACGAGTCACTATATAACAAAGGCAGATTTGAACTGAATAATTGTACTGTATTCTCAGGACATGGCCTTTTTTCATATAAATGTCAAATTAGGGCATAGATTTCGTCATTTTACATTGTTTCGTTTTATTTTGATACTTATTTTAATTTCTTTTGGCCAGCCTGGTTTGAGTTTTGCCGTTTCCTGAATTACTGTTTCATAATAGTTCTACTGTTTAGATTCTAATGAAAAGACTGTAATATGCTCTCTAAAGCAGGTCCACGTTTGTGACAACTTACCCCATTCAGTTTGATAACACGCCCTATTGTTATAGGAGTCAGTGTGTGTTAAATGAACCCTAACATTTTTTTTTAAATGGACAATAGTGGCAGAATAGGATTTTGAACTGAGATTTGTCTAAGGTTAGTGTCCCTTGACTTTAAAAAAGAAACCCATTCTGAGAAACACATATGAGTGCATGAATCCTGTTGAGTTTTATTAAATGCTAATATCATTTTATTTGTTATAGTTGCAGAGATATGTAAAACAGAACTACTAGAGGGAACGTCCTGCACCCTAAAGCTGCCAACAACAAACACTGACAAATCTAGTGAGATCAAATGGGTCCATGGCAGCAGTAGTGCTGTCATTCTGAGGAAAAATAATAAGAACAAATTAAACACTCCAGGTCTAACACTGGAAGAAGATGGATCATTAACATTTAAAAGTGTTAGGCTGAACAACACTGGCAAATATACATACAGTGTTTTTAATGCTGATGGTACACAGATTGGTGCTGGAGAAAAGGAAATTAACGTTTATGGTAAGAGGACAAATATTCATATGCTTTCACCATAATAACAAACTAAGAGTGTACATTTCTACAGTAATTCCAGTAGAAGTTAACCACCATGTTTCTGTCACAGCAAAGGCTCCTAAACCTACTGTGAAGATCGACTGCAAAGGTGCTGACGCTACACTCACCTGTGACATTAGAGACCGTACAGATCTGACTGTCTCCTGGTATAAAGAAGACAATATCATCCAGACTGAAAACAACCCAAAACTGCTCTTGACATCTGCTCAAGTACAGGAGAATAAACCGTACTCATGCAGTGTAAGCAATCCTGTCA